TGGCCATTTAAAGTGTATTTTATTCCTGGTTAATGGTTTCTGACTGTTCCCTTATTGGGCGAGAACGCCATGACCTGTCAAGTCTTTGTTCCAACCTCGAGTGGAGTCCAGCTGGCTGGCCAGCGCGGGGGAGGAGTCTTCACAGCGTCCTTAGAATGTGCTGGCTCACATCTTCTCTGCCCCTTCTTGCTTTTGCCGTCTTAAGCCTTTCTGCTGTCATCAGCTCGGCCCTAGCTTCCTCAGGACTAGCATGTCCCTCTGCTGTGGGTAGGTTCTAGGAAAGAGGAGCTCACCTCTTAACTCCGGTGTGGGTGCCCAGCATTGCAAAGGCACAGGGAAGCTCTTGGGAACTTGGCAGTGATGGACAGGCTGGATCCCTAGCAGACTGTAAAAACTTTCAGTGACTAAGAGTGTACACACTTGTGACGTGCTGTCACAGGCCTAGTCTGGCTGCTGGCCCTTGTGTCCGGAGGTGACCCTTGCCCAGAGGTCCTTGGTAACTTCTGGAAATTGTTATTGCCTGCTGCTTGGGCTACACAGAAGAGTCCATGAGAGTGAATGTGGTGACCTGGTATGTTCCAACCCTGTCTGTGGGTCACAGCGTCAAACTCATCTAAGACCAGCAGGATTTTGCTGACTTACTTTGGTTTGCTGTGTTCATGTGTTTCTGTCATATTAACAAATAGTCAATTGCCGTCTATCGTGGTGTTTTGTGTGTGTGCTTGGAGAACATTTTTCTAGTTCTCTTGAAAAGTTTCTAATCTTTTCAAATTATATTTAATTGTTACTCCGTCCACTTAGTTCCCATTAGCAGCTGGCTATACCCCAGAATGAATGAGTGTGGCCTCCGTTGATGTAATTTATACCAAAACTGAAGATACTATTTGTTTTGAGCACAGGACTGAAGTACGGATGACACTATAGTGCATTTTCTTAGGTTTTCCTGAATCCCTAGTACAAGCCCCATGACATGTGGCTGGGTGTCCCCCCCACAGACCGTGGGCTGGGCCAGTGTCTCTCTGTGGGGACTGGAGAAAACTGTCAGCCACCAGAAGCTGCACGAGACACACCAGGGTGGTCCTGCTCTCCCTCCAGCCCGCGTACCTGCCAGGAGGGGAAAATAGTGTGCTTGTCAGCGAATGTCAGGGACTGCCCCTCCCAGCAGAAAGATGGATGATGCAGCTGCTGCTTTTGGATCATACATTGTGATGAGATATGTTTATTAATAATTATTTTTGATATAGACAAAAATTAATTTATATGAAGCTCCAAAGTTGTTCATAACTACTTTTCAAAGAACTCAGTATTCTTCATTATGAAAAATATTGTCCCTTTTGTTAGCATTTATTGAATGTCTAAGTTAACAAAATTACTTTCTTTAAAAAAATTTTTTTTCTTATTTTAGGTGGTACCTTCAGAAGTTTGAAGATTACCCAAAGTGCAGAAAAATTGTAATTCCGTTTTTGTTTTAATTATCAATGAAATTATCTCCAACTTGAAGCTTTTCAATGATGTTCCTCTGAAGGCTGTATGTATCATATCTCTGTAATTTTCCTGCTACTTCATTGTTTTTGAGACGTGCTCTAGGAATTTTCTTCCTAATAAATTTATAAGCTCCCTTCAGGCTGAAATGCAGGCTGAAGGACCATGCTGGATAACAAGTGGTCACTGCTGATGATTTTTCTAACTTCAAACTTAACCTCTTTGGACTATGTAACGCTAAGTGTGTATAAAACCAGAATTTACATCTGTCTTTGGTGGCCTCTGTGGAACGACAGATGTCACTGTCCCTTTTATGGCCCCCATGATGAGTCCTTCAAGGGCTGTGGAAGCTGTGTCCTCCTTCCATAAGGTGTCCCAGTAGGCCAGAGAAACCTGAGGAACCTGCTGTGTAGTCTAGTCCTGGCCTGGGGAAACTTGCCAGCCTTTGCTGGTGGTCACTGTGTGAAGATAGAGGAGCCCCAGCAGCCCATCTGAGACTGGACAGAGGCATCTGGTACTTGTTCTAGCCCAGCAGGTGATGTCACTGGGCAGGGGAGGGCGCCAATGGCAGCAGATAGGGTTTGTTAGTCCAGAAGCTGCTCTGTCCCACGCAGGTACTTCTGGACCCTCAGGTGGCAGTGCAAAGGTACAGCTCAGCCTTCACATCCTGGGTCACTCGCCGTGAGCCTTCACGGTTCTCTGATCTGACATGATTTTGCTGCTTTGATGCAGAGAACCTCTTGTGATATGGTGTGACTGTAATGAAGAGCAATGATTTTGCAGAGGAATTTTGTTACTGTGTGAACTCAGGCCCTTTTTCTGACCAAATAATAGTTTGAAACCCCAATGCGATAAATAGTGTGTCATCTCAGGAAACCTCAACAGTTATAGCCTATCTTGATGGACTTGGGACCCAGTGTTCTGAAAGGTTTACTTGGCCAGGAGAGAGGTGCTCATCTGAGCCCCAGAGAAGCTCACTGGGGATATGACTTCTGTCGACATCCCTTTTTTACTGGAACAACTCACATGTGCACAAGTCTGCGTTAACTCAAGACTGGATGTGCTTTACTGCTTGGCCAGAATTCACTGGGCAAATGATTAACAGGAGAAGAAATCCTGGCCCGTCTTACCTCTCACTGCCTTCTGTTTCCTAAAAGCTGTAACTTGTCATGTTCGTTACATAATAAAGGAGATTAATAAAATTACAGTTAAAAGCCCAGTGTTTGTTATCAGCGTTAAGGACTGTATCAACACTTGTGGGATGACCGCCTGGTCTTCAGCCCTCAAATCCGCTTCTCTGCATCTCTCTGGGCTGCGCATTCCTTCAGATTTCCTCAGGCTTCTTTACATAAATCTCAGGCTAGTTTGTTAAGGTTATTTTTAGACATTTGATCCTTTGTTGTGAATGAGAACTTGTTTCCTATCCAGTTTTTAATCAGGATAAACAAAAGCTGTTGATGTTTGTATGTTTATTATTTCCAGCTATGTCATAAAATTATTTTATGAATGCCACCTTTTTTTCTAACTTTGCAGTCATAATCACGTGCAAATATCCTGAATTTATGTTTTGCAACACTGAAACTGTTACCTTGGTTTGGTCATTGTTTGTGAGAACAATATTGAACAATCGAGGCAACTAAATCTCTTACTGTGCCTATTTTATAAACATAGGATAGGGTTTGATACCATCTGTGTTTCAGGCATTCACTGGAGGTCTTATAGTGTCTCCTGATAATGAGGGACTGCTGTAATTTCTCTTGTGTTTCATAATATTTTAATTTCTGCTTTTATTGTCACTCTTCTGATTTTGGGTGGCTATTTCTGTGCTACTCATACCTATTTAGAAGGAGTACTATATTTGTTTTTTTTCTAAGCAGGTACAGTTCTAGGATTTTTTTCTTTCTCTTTTCTTTTTTTTCAAGATGGGGGTCTTGACATTTTTGCCGAGGCTGGGCTTGAACTTGAGATCCTCCTGTCTCAGCCTCCCAAGTAGCTGGGACTCCAGGCACTCACCATTCACCAGGAGCTTTTAGGTTTGGGGGTGACATATTTCCTCTAAGTAACACTGATGCACTTCCTTATGCTGAATGATGTTCCTGTTTTTATTCTAAATAACCCCCACTTGTACTTTTTACTTTTCATCCACTTGGGGGGAATTTATTTAAAGTGTTTTTTCTCTTTCCCCTGTATGGATGTTGTAGAGATTATTTTGTGTGAAGTTTCTCCTTTGAGGATTTTTAGTTTTTCTTTGTAGCCTAAAAAAAAAAAAAAATTGATCACCTTTTATGACAATGAGGACAAGGTCCCTGTTAAGGTTTATCCCGATCTTTGCAAATTCAAACATATTCGTTACATTGTTAAAATTCTCTGCAATCTTGTTTTTCTTCCCTTGCTAATTTTCCTCCTACTAGTCTTTGCTTTATGTTTTGCTGCTGTTGCTTTGCAAAGCTTTCCACCCCACCCCGGTCTATTTCTGTTATAAAGATAAAATCATCTTTTCATTTCGTGATCTGAAAATGCTGCCTTTTTTCCTTGTTCCTTGCCTAACTCCTGTTTTAAGTTTTTAAGTGTTAATTTGTTTTAATGGTCTTTGAACTTTGAACTAATGAACTTTGCTACTTAATAAGGTAGCTCAGATTCTTTTAGTAAGTAGTTGCAACATTGAAATGTTCTTTCTTTTATCATGTTTTCTGATTTTATTATTTGTTGAGGTTTTTCTTTTTTTATCTGTTTGTTTGTTTTGCAGTTTATTATCTATAGTGATTTGGAAAGGAGACTTATTTAAAAAAAAAAAAAAAAAACAACTTAATGAGAATGGGCTCTGTGGTTTTGAAAGTGCTCTTGAGCATTTCCCGGTTGAACCTGACGGGCCAAGCATATGCCTTACTCCCTCCCTCTACTGACCTCTGCTGAAACCACCATACAGCGCTTAAAAGAGGGGGAGGATGGCCCCATAAAGCGAGTGAGAGAGGGTCATCTCGGCAGACTAACCTCAGCATGAGTGAGAATGGTGCCGACAGATTGGGGCAGAGGGGCGTGACGGGGTGCCCTGCCAGGCCATAGGTGCTGGGTGTACAGAGGGTGGCAGTGAAGTGAGCACCTCAGAATGCGAACCTAGACACCAGTGCACAGAGCAGATGGTGGTATCCCCTGCCTTCCACCCCCCGCAGGCAGCACATGAAGTCCAGAGCTCAGCTGTATGCCCATACCTGGGGAAAAGAAAGGTTGGAAGTTCTTTCCTAAAATGAAACTTAACTGTCCAGGGAGAACCAGAAGAACCAGCTGCTGGCATCCCAGAAAACCAAAAGAAAAGTCACACTTTGGCCTCCATGAATCCTGCCCCTTAGGGGCTGATTACTTTCTGCGTCACAGGCTGGGAACCTGGTAATGGCATGGTCCCCCACGGTCACAGGCTGGGAACCTGGTAATGGCATGGTCCCCCACGGTCACAGGCTGGGAACCTGGTAATGGCATGGTCCCCCACAGTCACAGGCTGGGAACCTGGTAATGGCATGGTCCCCCACAGTCACAGGCTTCTGGTCCTTTCTAAAAATTGGAACTGAGGACCAAGAACCACTGGGTACCTAGGAATGTTTTCATCATGAAAGAAAAATGAATGTGTTGGAGAAAACTTTATTCCAGGAAGAAAAGGGAATTCAAATTGTACCTTCAGAGGATTCGGTATCAACAGGTGGGTGGACAAATGGTGGGACATGATACCCTAGACACAACCCAGCATTGGGAGGAGAGGACTGTGGGGGCACATCTGTAAATCACAGCTCCACTGAAGGCTTTGTACCCACCATATGGAAAGTAGTCTCACATTTCATGGATAAAGTACTTTAAAATATTTTTTTATGGGCAAAAGATCTGAGTAGACATAGACACTTCACCAAAGAATACATACAAATGACAAAGGATGCATAACATTTTTAGCCATTAGGAAAACACCAAGAAGATCCCCACCTGCCTGTCAGCCTTTTACAGAACTCTCTGATATTAAATGTTGAAATCTATAAAAATTCATTATGTTAAAGAGAAAGCAGAGGCACAATATTATTCTTAAAGAGATTCTTGGAGAACATGAATGATGTATCCGGCAGCTAGCTCCAAACCAGAATTGGCTCAGGAGGCCGGAGGGAGGTTTGCACAGGGCACAAGAAAAGTGACCTGTGGTCACAGTGACACACTTGCACTGTTCTGTCTACCCCAGTGGGAAGCCCCGAGTTCTGTAAGTTTGCTGAATGTTTCTGACTGACTGAGCTTACATCCGATTTTTCTGTAATATGGGCATTTACAAGAAATAGCTCCAGGTAAGTTTTACTTGTACTCGCCAAGCAGGGAAGGTTTGGGGCCTCTTATGAGGCCTGACTTTGTCCACTCCAGGGCACTTCTGGCCTGATCTCCATTTTAGTTTACTAATTCTAACTTTAATAGTCCCTCAACTATGAATATTTTCCCAATAACACCTGCAAGCCAACTCATGTCCCTTGATTAAAGATTATTATATTTACTTCAGGTAGTTTAAAACTATAGGTTTGTTCAAAGAGGTGGTTCTCTAGCTAAATTTCAAGCCCATTTGGCCAGCAAAAAGCAAAACATTAACTGAGAATACAATCTTTACTAATAAGATTTAACCTTCATTTTTTAATTTTAAAAAAGCTAATCCAGGTCTGGCTCATATCTGTAATCCCAGCACTTTGAGAGGCCAAGGCAGGTGGATCATTCCAGACTAGGAGTTGAGGACCAGCATGGGCAACATAGCAAGACCTCATCTCTGTAAGAAAATACAAAACTTTGTCAGTTGTGAGGGTACATGCCTACAGTCCCAGCTACTCAAGAGGCTAAAACAGGGGATTGCTTGAGCCTAGGAGTTCAAGTCCACAGTGAGCTATGATCACACCACCGCACTATAGCCCAGAAAGAGACCCTGTTTCTTTAAAAAAAAAAAAAAAAAAAAAAACCTAGTCCAAAAATGGTATCATCCTATAAAGATGCCTCTTTCAAAATCACATTGAAAAAGATGAGTAATTTTCAATTTATTTTTCTATATGCCATAGAATTCCCTCACAAAATCTCCTTGACACACCAGAACAGCATTTGCAAAATGTGTTATGGTAGTGACAGCAGGAGGCCGGTTGTCAACACTGTCAACTGTTCAGAGACATACACTAAGTATTTACATAGAACACTGATTCACTAGCATAAATAAAAAATAAACAACCAAGCAACTACCTCACTCAGTGTTCAAAGGGTTCTTCCCATGTTCTCCAGGCAAGTCCTTTATAAGTAAATATGTGTGTGTGTGTGTGTGTGTGTGTGTATGATATATATTTTTCAAGGTCTTGCTCTGTTGTCTGATGCTAGAGTGCAGTGGCGTCATCATAGCTCATTGCAACCTCAAACTCCTGGGCTCATGTGATTCTCCTCGCTCAGCCTCCCAAGTTGCTGAGACTACAATTACCTACCACCACACCCAGCTAATTTTTGTACTTTTTGTAAAGATAGGGTCTCACTTTGCCCAGGTTGGTCTTGAACTCCTGGCCTCAAGTGATTCTCCTGCCTTGGCCTCCCAAAGTGCTGGGATTGCAAACATGAGCCGCTGCATCTGACAAGTTCTTTATAATTAGACCTGAGCAGCATGCAAAGTGCTATCATGATAAATGGGGAGACCGCCCTGAGGAACTTTCCATTTCCCAGGCTGGCTGGAGTGCTGGAGGCTGGGGCCAACGATGGTGTGAGAACAGGTGCATGGCGGCAAGTCCAGAGGCAGTATGGTCTGCCTGGCATGCGTCAGGTTTCTGCTGGACAGCACTGCCCTGAGCTGTGCACCAAGACCTAGTGGAAAGCCTGAGAGGTAGGGCTCAAAACGCATTTGCTAGACTAAAAAATGGCTGTAACACTGCTTCTCTCTCAAAGGAGAAAACCAAGGTATAGTTAATAAAAAGAGGCTTTGTGCTCTGAAAGGAAAGTGGAACTAGGGGCCAGATCCTGAAGAGACACCTGAAATGAAGTCCTGGAAGGAGGAAAGGCCAGAAAAGCATTCACCTGTTACATCTCTGGCTCAAGGTCATTGACGTCTGTGTCCCAAAACACTTTTGGCCTGTGCATTTTCAGATCCAGGACAGTCTTATAAACACTGTCCCCTTGGAAGCAAATTAGTGGATGCCCAAGGTATCCTGTGGTCCTTCTACCCTGGGCAGAAGC